CTATAATGAAGAATTGTAAATCTATATAAAATTCTTAAAAGATGAGATCAGTTCAGAAGCACTTTTATTTCGCTATGCTTTGATTTTTGGGAAATTAAATGGCTTCAGTTCTAGGGGCCGTCCACATTCTTGTACATAATATTCTTTATTTAGGAATAGAGCATATTTGAAATATTATATACCAAGAGGAGGCCGTCAACATAAGTTGGGAATAAAAACAGCTGGACAGGGGAGAGAGGAGAAGGGAGGAGTGGTAATGGTGAGGGAGGGTAGGGGATAGGGAATGACGACGACATGGTAGTGCAGCTGGGGTGTCAGGGGGGGTGGGGGAGGACAAGATCATCTTTTTTTCTTTTGCTTTTTAGTTAGAGAGATTATTGCATTGCCTTCTATATCCTGAAATGTTGGTCAACTTGACGTTTAACCGGTTTTTTCAAGCAATATTGATCTCAGTGGACCTAGTTGCTAAAAAATGTTGATCAGATATTCATTTGCCAAAACAAATTGAATGGGAACCTAAATGCTCATTTAGGCATAAAATGGAGTCTATAGATGTAAATTACCCCATAAAAATTATTATCATAACTTGTTCCATCAACTAAGTCTGCTTACGATTGCTTTGAAGAAGAACTAAATCAAAACTTATGGTGCTTCCAATTAAAGATTTGTCCCTTTGCTTTCCAATTTAACACTCTCTAATGTTTACCTAAAACATTTTGCTCTCACAGAATAAAGCCAATGGTTTAAGTGCCAAATTGCCATCACCAGAAAACATGTTTGACAACTTGGGAAAATTATCATGTGCAGCCCATTCACTAATAATAGTTAATAACTAGGAGCATTAAAATAATAACACTGCCATCAGCGTGACAGGTAAAGATAAACTTCAATAATGAACATCCACATTTTCTATGGAGTATCCTGCAAAAATTAAGTCATGCGCAAGGATATTTGTCTTTGGACAAATCAAAAGCTTAATTCTTTAGGGCATCCAAAGCTTAATTCTTTAGGGCATTGTTAAGAGACTCTTAATATGCTCTTTATTTTAGAAAGTCAACAGTTAAAAATAAGTTTCAAGAGATTCTATTTTAACTTTTTAAAATGGAAGTTGGTTTGGCTATCCAAAATTTCTCCATTCTTACTTTATAATAAGATTGAATTTAATAAGTTATACATTTCAATACTGATATATTGAAAAATATATTAAATAAATGAATTGAAGAAATCAATAAATGTTTCTTGAAAAAAACAAAATAAAGAGCCAAATTAGCTAGTATTGTTGGAGTGTATAAAAAAAAGTATTCTCTAAATTTAATATATTTAAATATGCTCCCTATGAAGATGCTCTTTATAGAGAGAATATATTGGAATTGCTTTTATCAAGCCAAACAAACTTTAATAATGGTGTAAATAATTTCCCCGTGTCCAACAAACATTCATCCGTCATTGTGGCAACAGGAAAACAAATTTACAGAGAGCTAGACTGCCCCTAACAACCTCGAATGCCCTATCTACTGATGCACATAAAATAAGTAGATAAATATAGATTTAGATATAGAGAGAACAAGAGGCAATACGTTGAGCTGACTGGTAATGGAGTCCTGCTGGTTCTCTGGAGATAAAATCACGCTTCCGGTTGCCGACCTCGCCCCTAATTTAGCAAACGCATTGTGCGTTGTTAGCCAGGTGTACCGATTAAAAGGCAAGCTTCTCACCTAAATTCGATCACATCAAAATTAATCATTGAAAACCCAAAAAAGCCCAAACACAATCAAATTCAAAATGTAAAACATTTTATAGACATATCAATGCATATATCTCAGCAAACTTAGAGAGAGGATTGATAGGTTGAATTCGAGTGCAGCGCGGTCTGACATCGTTATTGGCGAGGCATGTTTCGCAGTGCAACCCTGTGCCACAGTTACTGTTCTGGATGCAAGTTTCTCCTTGCTGTAACCCAGTGCAAAAAAAAAAAAAAAAAAACGATTATCCAGTAAGTGAAATTTGAGATCAACACGCTTGTATCAGTAAGTGTTTTGCTATAAACTAAATAGAAACATAATAGCATAAACCTTAAGAGCTGTGGAGTAACCAACGAGGATAGTCGAACAGAATAGAGTGAAAACATAGAAATTCATAGTGAAGCAGTAATCTGCAAGAAGCAAAAATAATCGTTAGGGTTTGAGGAACTCGGATTTTGCATAATTTCACCTCAATAACAGATTTACACATCCATAACATTATACATTACATACAAATAGGCATATATGCGTGCACTTGATTGTGAGTGTGGGAATTGTTCATTACTTGATTGCTGGTATGGAGTACCTGAAGCATCAATTTGGGTTGATTTCTCTCTTTAAATGGAGTACTGAAATTTGAAAATTTTGAGATTTATTGCAGAAGAGAGACCTGAGAAATGTGGAGTCTGGGCATTTACTATCTACAGCCAACTGTTTTAAACGTGCGCCGATCTTAAGTCCGTCTCTTGACGATTAGCGCATGTTTGCCGAAGGTCATAACTGCTTTATTTTTAAAAACTTTTTTAACTAAAAATAAACTCATCAAACTCTAATTATATTATTCACAACTTTTATATACTTTAATCCACTTATTAACGACATATTTATTATATCACGTTTGTAATCTAATAAAGCTTTATCAAACATGTATAAGTAATTTTTTAATTAGATATATTTGGATAATTTATTCAAAAATAGGACTTATATAGCAGTCAAAGTAAATAATTTACTTATTTTTAATTTTCAATAACAAAAAAATATTTATTAGAAAACCAAAAAATTATCTTTTCTTCAAAAAAATGATGAATAATGCCTACTTTGCCCCAAAAATGTGACATAATGGTTGACAAAATAAGTGTGGCAAGATGTGATTGGTTGAAAAAGTTGACTGAGTTTTAAACAATCCAATATTATGTTGCCACGTGACGTTATGTCAACCATTATGTTCATATAGCATAATTCAATAATGATATATATTTTCAAATTGATGAGTTAACGAAGCGAAATGAGCATGTCTAGGTTACTTAAAAAATTAAATGACATAATTATACTGTAAAACCATAGTCTAAAAATAAGTCTCCAGGAAGTGCGTGGTCGAAGTCTTTCAAGTTCCTTTCGGGAGAATACATACTACAAGAAGACGAGGGCGATTATCGATTTTTGAAAATCTAACCGAGTTATTGTTCTTGACAAATTGTCCAAAATTAGAGGAAAAATCCAAATAAAACACATAAAATAAGTGAATGGTAATTGCTACTTATACTCCACAACCAAATAGAAAAAAGAAAAGAAAAAAAGACGTATTCCATCGAGAGAGAATTTTTCTTCTCCGGCATAAGCCACCTCTATATTTACGTTAACCATACTATTTCCTAGAAAGTAGGGTTTTAATTTTCGAATATCTTTTTCCCTTTTTTAATTATGTTTTAAGAAAATAAAATACAAAAAGGTTATATATATATATATATTTTGTTTATTCCTTGAAAGAAAAAAGCTATAAAAATAAGTAACTTAAAATAAGTTTGAGGGTCTTTGAGGTCCGCGAATAGTCAAAAGCTGCACTTTCTTCGCTTTCAGCATTAGTCGGACCCCTCTTGAAAGGAGTGTACTGTACACTCTCCTAGCTCTAGACGCGGCATGCGCTCCTGGTTCACCGTGGTCTCTCGCTCACTCACTTTCTAGAACCAACCTCCTCCTTCTCCTTCCTCCTCCTGAGGTCTTGTCTATGGCATTGAAGGGATCGGCAGTGTTTCCTTTTTGTCTACTATTACTGGTCTTTCTTCAAATGCATCTTTCTTTAACAATGTCTGCATCTGGTATAGCCCCTTTATTTTGCTTATTCATTACTTCAAATGCTTTGTTCTGATGCTCAATTAATGTCTTTTGTTTTTAACATGGCGTTATTATTGTTTTTGAAGTATTGGAGATGTTTATGTGAGAAGTAAGGGTTTTGTTTGTGAATTGAAATCGTTTTTCCTTTTCTACTTGTTTCCAGTTTTATAAGGAATTTGGACTGATAAGACTTAAGCTAATTTAATGAGGTGGTAAAACTTGAGGTTGGTATTGTTGTAATTTTTGGGGGAGCTTGATGAAAATGTAAATTTGTAGACTTGCATGGTTAGATTAAGATCAAGGTTGTGGGCAGTGCCAGTAATTAGCTTGTTCGACACCATAACCTCTTAAATGAATGAAATCACAATAAGAGATCGCGTCTCTTGAGTTATCACTTTTACAAAACTTCACCTGATGAGAATGAAACTTACTTGACAAATTATAATTGCGGTAATCATATTTATTTGTGTCTGCTTACTCTTCAATGTTTGCAGATTGCCCATTGGATTTGAGTATGTCTAATTTTACACTGGCTGCCTCCAAATGCTCCACTGGAGAAGACAGAGCAAAGTGTTGCCGACACCTTAATGTCTTGGTCGCTATTTCTGTCTCACGATATGCCAATGCAACGAGTAACTTGGGGGTTACTTCAAATTTATCTGATGTTTGTCTGCATACATTATCAAAAACTTTTGCACTTTATGGAATGACAAGAAATGCATCAGTTTTCTGTGGCTTTGGGACAAAAATACCTGTAAATTATGAATGCCAGGGTCGGTCAACTGTTAACCAGATGCTGCAGTCTCCGAAATTTAGGGATGTTACTGAAAATTGCAAAGTGCCACTGTCAGAGGATGGTATTTGTAAAAAGTGCTTGAATGCCGGTATTGTTTATCTTCATAATCTATTGGGGCCAACAGATAATTTGACACTGAGTACTTGCAGAGATGCAACATTTGCTACAGTTGCAAGTCAAGTCGATTACGCTTCGACTATTGACATTGCAGGCTGTTTCTTTGGGGTTCAAGGGCTTAATCTTCCTCCAGGTATAGGAATTGGATAACAATAGTCATTTGAATATTTATCTCTTTCTTCTAGCAATTTCACTAGATGGGATCGTGAATCAGTTCATTCTTTCACATTCATTTTATGTTTTCTGCCTAGTTTTATCATCAAATTCTTTTGGTTTTGCCATGGGAAATTTAAGCAATGTCCCTGTTTTAAGAGACATATTCATCAGAAATATGACGCTAATATATATCTGGTCGATTGAGATTTCTAGTAACTTCCCATCATCGCATTCTTTCTTTTTATGTTCTATGGAAACTATTCCAGTCCTGTTGAGGATTCCTACAGACACAAGAGTTGACTATTGTTAATTATTCATCTACTTCTCTTTCTTTCTGAAGTTATGAACTTCGTCATTGCTTTTTAAAGGGTTCTTGACATATTTCTGGGTCTATCATTTCAATCGTACATGTGTCCTTTCTAATTCCAAGATAGATAGAAATAAACATACAAAATATTAATATAATGAAGTAATAAGTGCTTAATGTACTTTCTGCTTGTTTCAGGATCATTCCCGCCTTCGCCTCCACCTCCAACTCAGGCATCTCCCACCCCTCTAACTGCTGCTAGTCCGGCTCAACTTTCCTCGCCTCCAAAGAGGAATCATCGAAACTACCACCTCTCATTGGTTCCGAGCATTGGCATTGCAGTTACAGCATTGGCTGCCGTGCTGCTGGTAGTCTTGATTATTCTTATCCGTAAGAAAAGCCGAGAGCTTGATGATTCTGATACAGATGATAAGACATCCTCAAAATCCATTCCTCGCGCCGCAAGAAAATGTCAGGATGGTACATTCTGATTCTGTTTTTTCTTTCTTCAGTATTTCTATATTTTGGTAGTATGAAGTGATAATTAAATCAGATGTTGTACTTCCTAATTGTTTTCGTCGGATGCCAATATTGAATCACACGAAGGACCATCCTCTATGTTCAGAAAATTCAGCTACAGAGATACAAAGAAAGCTACTGATAACTTCAACTCCATCATTGGACAAGGCGGATTTGGTACTGTGTATAAAGCGAGGTTTCATGATGGTTTAGTGGTAGCTGTGAAGCGGATGAACATGGTATCAGAGCAGGCAGAGGAAGAGTTTTGCCGAGAAATCGAGCTCCTTGCTCGACTACATCATCGCCATCTTGTTTCTCTGAGAGGCTTCTGCATTAAAAGACATGAGAGGTCAATCAGTTGCATTTTTGTTCCCTTATTTATTTTGCCCATCCTGCATCAGAAAAACACATGCACCTGAACTTTTGCACGCTGGATAAACCTAAAGGAACATGTTTTACGGCAGGTTTCTCATGTATGAATATATGGAAAATGGAAGCTTAAAGGATCATCTTCTGAGTATGTCTTTGTCCTTTCATCTCATTCCGGTATCTGGCATGTTAGAAAAGCTTAAAAATAATTCATCAATGTTTTTCTGATTGTCCAAATGCTTGTATTCAGCCCCAGGTAGAACTCCTCTCAGTTGGCGAACAAGAATTCAGATTGCAATTGATGTGGCAAATGCATTGGTAAATTCTTGAATAAAGCTGATTTACGGAAATCAGTTAGTACAAATTCAAAACTGCGATACTTGTTCCTGATGACATTTCTTCATGCAGGAGTACCTTCACTTCTATTGCAACCCTCCTCTGTGTCATAGAGATATTAAATCGAGCAATATATTACTAGATGAGAATTTTGTTGCAAAGGTATTGCACTCAATAGTCAACTCCATATGTTATTTAACTGTGTTGTTATGAATTCTGTCCTATTTTCTTTTTTCTTTACCTTTTTTTGGTGAACCAGGAGCATGATACGACGACAAGCTAAATTTTATTTTCAGTAATTTTTGGGCTATATAATTCCTTTTTTACCACATAAAGGTCCCATGAAATCCTTTTGGTCGACTTCTTCCTTATCTAACCTATTCTACGAGGATTGCATAGCTCTCATGAAGAAAACTTCTTTAGGGCAATCAAAAATTTGTTATCACCACCTAGGTTCTTTCCTTAATATTTTGTACTGAATTGGAGTCGTTTAATTCTCGTATGTCTGCACATCCACCTCAACATTTGTAACTTTTGTTACATTCAGTGTGACCCAACACTCGGTGTCATAGATACAATTGATATAATGACCATTGTGGATAACTTTTCTTTTAACTTGATTGGTGACATCGTAAAAAGATAACTCTCTGGTACATTTCTCCCAGGCAATTTGCATATCTTGAATTTAGTTAAATATTAAATTCCAAAATCAAATATAATCAATGAAGTGAAGTTTCCTTGTTTTGACACTAACTGTGGACTAGATGTATTTTAACGCTCTTCTAGGTTGCTGATTTTGGCCTTGTTCATGCTTCGAAAGATGGCTCTGTTTGCTTCGAACCTGTAAACACTGATATCCGGGGAACTCCAGGTTAGACAAAATCCTCTTTGATTATAAACTCCAACTTATTTGATACCAAAACATTAGATGCTTGTTTGGTGAAGTGGATTCTCCAGTAATCGACAATGTTAATAGCATGTTTGACTAAGCATAAAAAGATCACTTATAAGTAAATGAGTTAATTTTTAAAATAAATACACTTTTTATTGGTTAAAGTTGAAATTATAAGTTACTTATTTGGACAGTAAAGTAAGAGTTAATTTCAAGTAATTTCAGTTCTTTTCAAGCCTAGCCAGACATGTAGAAAAAGAAGTTAAATCTTTTCTATTATAATATCAAGTTCAGTCCAGTATCATTTACCAAATGCGCCCTAAATTGATTATCAGGTTGGACAAATTCTTCTTTCGTGATTTTATGCCTTATCCAGTGATATCAAAGCATTAAATGATTTTCAGGTTATATGGATCCAGAATATGTGGTTACTCGAGAGCTCACAGAGAAAAGTGACGTTTACAGTTATGGAGTTGTGTTATTAGAGTTAGTTACTGCAAGACGAGCAATACAAGACAACAAAAATTTGGTCGAATGGTCTCAACCTTTTTGGAATTCAGAATTGAGAATAACTGAGCTTTTGGATCCCAATCTCGGGGATGCTTTTGACTTCGATCAACTTCAAACAATTGTAGAAATTGTGAGATGGTGCACTCAAAAAGAAGGGAGCGCACGACCATCAATTAAGCAAGTCCTCAGACTTTTGTATGAGAGTACTGAAGTAATGCACAGTGGGTTTGTTGAAGCTATGGAAGATGAAGAATATGGAGAAACTGAAGGTAGGGGAAGGACGAGCAGAGGTAACACAAAGAGAGGTGAAGGTATATTTTTCAGTGGGGATGTACGTGGGCTAGCTTCTTCTTCGAGTACGTCTAGGTCATATTGTAGTCGAAGCTTCCTACTTGAAACTGGCTCACCTCAGTCACCTGTATTATAGGGTAGATATATTCGGGCGTTATTCAGCTTTATCCACGATTACTTTGTGCAGTGGGAGACTAATTCAGCAACAAGCAAGGGAACGATTGGCTTGTATTTTTTGCATAATTGTCTTCTTTGTTGCAGCTAATAACTTGCTAAGGATTACTACAAATGGAAGAATTGCAAAAGTTATTATGTACCATTTACCTTCCGGGTGAAATGCTTTTGGAGTTTGGAATAGCAAAAAACACGAGGATTATTATTCAAGAGAGAGCCAAATAACCTGAAGAGAGAAATTACTGTATGATAAATTAGAAGAGGCAAAATGTGTTTGTCATTGTCTATTGAAATTTTCAAGGAATGAAATTTTACTGTTTCATACTTCAAATGTTCTTTGGCAGTTAGATTTGAGATGTTAAATTCACACAAATCCTTCTTTTATTTCCCTTCTTTTATGCTTTTCATTTTCTTTGAAGAATTTATTAATGTTGATTCAATCTGTTCTAAAATTACAAGGCTACGTTTCGACTGGTTTAGATTGTATAATTTAGTTTAAAATTATGCCCCTGTTTGATACCTATTTTCTTCTTATTCTCTTTCTCATTTTTTTATTTTTTTATTTTAACCACACATTTTATCAATAAAATAAAATTACACAAACTCAAAAATTCTCATTACTTTTTAACCACACATTATTCCATCAATCATTATTTTAGAAGTTATTTTTTCTCCAAAATGGGTGTCGAACACATCCTATAATGAATATAGTAAGTAAATGGTATTGTAGTGAATTAAGATGGTCGGCATTTTAAAATTTTCATTTAAAATAGTCATTTGCATTATTAACTGTATAACATAATATAACGTGATATTGAAGACGAAATACGAGTTGAGTGAGATCCAAACATATGATAAATTACGTTCTTTTAAATGAAAAATCGAATCTTATTATCCGTCTTAGTCTATCCAAAATAATCTCCACCTAGTAATATCCAAAATAGTTTTATCTAAATTCTTTATACGATCTAATATGGTGAAACAAAAGTAAACTATGGATAGCATCATTCTATCTATGAGTAAAGAACTTGGTCGTGCACCATAGAGTCCTATCTAGCAATGCGTATCTAGCATGTTGTGAAGGATGAGTTCATGATGATAATGCAGTTTGCTCTTGCCATTCGCATCTTCACTGCTTAAGTCATTGTCAACGTCAGGAAATATCGACCAACCTACATCAACTACAATGACACAAGCATCCATATCATAGTTTTGCAACTGAGGGGAATGGGATTTCTGTTCTTCGACTGGAAATGAAAGCGCCCTCGCGTACACCATTGTAGGTGATGGCTTGTATAGAAATTTTGAAAGTCAAACAGTGCTTGGCGATAGAAGAATCTGAGTTGCTGGGATAATCTGTTCATCTGGAAAACCTTCCAGTAGATACATATCAACTGCGCACTCGTCATCAAACCAGAAGAAAACTCTAATGCTCGAAAATGAAACATCATGTGCTGGTTGTTCTAAGAAATGTATAGCTACTACCTTCACCCTTGTCGAGTTTGATTACTTTGCAATATCATGTATACGTAAGGATTCCAAATATAAAGCTCGTTTGGTAAAGATTAAAATTCAATTAAAATTGAAAATATAGCATTGATTGAGTCTTACCCATCTAATAAAAGGCAGTAAATTTTTCAATTTTAATCCGATTTTAATCTCTACCGAACACGCCTATAGAAATTGCAGAAAAATACAACCGTCAAATCAGAATGGCCAGATGATCGCACCAATCTAAGAACAAATTATTGATCCATTTTACTCCTTGCAGAGGCCACTTTCTGCAATGCAGTAATATGGAGAATCTCCAAAAGAAAATATGAATTAATTACCATAAAGTAGGAAGCCACTGTTGAAAATAGTGTGAGCATAAGTCATCTGCTTCCAACCGATCAGAGTAAAAGGTCCAAATGGAATTAGGATTTGATCATAGACGCAAAATTGAGTTCTTATGCCAGTCGGTTGGTTATCTTATTTGGTAGATTTATTTTGATTTTTCCAAGGGCGTTGATGTGGGAATAGGGTGTGTTTTTAACTGAGAATTTGATGGATTTTAAAAGATTATAAATTCTAATGAATTTCGTGGATTTAAATAGATTTCCACAAAATTCATAAAAATTTCATTAAAAATGGTGAAATTTCAAAAGAGTTTGTTATTTGTATATTTAAGTTTGAAATTCATCCAAATCTTTTAAAATCCTCCTATTAATGAAATCCTTATAAATTCATAAGATATTAAGGATACCTAAATTTTAAATGATTTCATTAAAAATCGTTAAAAATCTCAGTTAGGACACCTAAATTTTAATGAAAATCTATTAAAATCTCAATGGGAGATACCTGAATTTAGAAGGACTTTTAAAATCCATCAAAATCTCAATTGAGGACACCCTGTAGATTTGAAGACATATAGGAATCAAGTTGTTATGAAAGAAACATTATTTGAAGCCCTGAATATCGAGAGACGAAACAGACATTGGTCAATAACATCCGTTAGGAAGTATAGAGTTACACTTCATAAGCAGATTGTGAATCAATAATACAGTAAAGGACTAATAAGCTTTAGATCAAAGCTATAAAACACTTTTAAGCTTCCATTAATTGCTGAAAGAAGCATGATGATGAAGCAACTCTTTCTTTTCACTTGATTCAGCATATATATGGTGTAAACAACAATTACAAAAGGATAGATTGATGACGTTATGCTAACATATACGTTAACACGGATATATCCTTGGTTGATCAGATTCAGACACTATAAATTATTGAGTGTTACATGAACAATCTTCAGATTAACCGACAAGCCTATGTTAGACAAAAGAAAGAACAACAGAAACATCCTTTGCATTGACGTGTCCTATTCCTGAACTAAAAGGGAAAGCGTTAAGAACGAGGCAGCAAGGAGCATACCTCATAATATCTTCTCCAACACAATCTAATGCCAAGAGAGGAAAGTGAATCTTCTAGCCACAGACAGCAACCAGAAACTTCCTTTTACTTACTGGTTCCTCTTGCAATACGACAATGTCTCTTACCTTGTCTAGAAGCTCCTCCAAATTATTCACGCCAAAGCTTTGATAATCGATTGATCGTTTGTATTTTTGCTGGTAGATCGCATCAAAACAACCGAGAGAGATGCGACTATAGTAGCTTACCAAAATCTCTTGAAGGTCGTATTTGAACAGGTTGAGGCACTGGTCGAAAATTTCAGATTGAGGTGTCATCTCTAAATTAGATTTCTCTATTCCACTGTTGTCATCATATTCCTTTACAACCACCCTTTCATCATCTGAGGGTTCTTCAGAAGATCCAGCTTCTGCAATAACATCAATGGGATCTTGAGCTTCTTTTCCTTTCTTATCCCTCTTCGCTAAAATTAAGGGACGGGCGTTACGGAGGTAGACAAACTTCCTTGTGCCTCTTCCTTCAATAGCCATTGCATCACCCATCTTCTCCAGAAGATTTACAAGCTTAAGTTCTCCATATTCAGACACATACAAAGGCCTCCCATAGATTTTCTGGTATTCTGCAGAAAGACGGATTAGAGGCAAACACCCACCTGATAATTCAAGCAACTTTACCAGTTGGCCCTTTAAACCATTCAAATCTCCAGGTTGAACCCACATGAAGTCATCCTGGTCACATGAAGTAAAAGGTCTTGCTGAAACTTCATTCAACCCAGATGAGAGGCCATGTGATCTGGAAGATGTAGGATAATAGGGCATTGTTATTGAACTACTATTATATTCAAATGGAGAGTGTGAGATCAATGAGAAATCCCTTTTGTTGCAACAGCCTTTTGAGATTCCTCTATAGACTACTGCTTCTTCTTCATTCTGCCAATGTAAGTTGTCATTGATCTCGCATCCCGTTAAAAACCCAGTAATGTTTGTCGGAACTACATAAGGAGGAAGTAAACCTTTAGCAGGAGGCACAAATCCTTCCCCACGAGCCACACTCGGCCAGTCCCAAATAAACTGGCCTGCATTACTCAGAGCAGATGAAACTCTCGCCCTAGTAGGAATGACAAGGATGATAGTATATCCACGCTGGCCCAAAACATGGAGTGCGGGAGCAAAATCAACATCCCCAGAGATGAGCACGATGGAAGATGGCGGACGATAGTCAAGAGCAAAAAGGAACATGTCAACCAAGATAGCCTTGTCAGCTGCATCCTTCCGCCCATTAGGTACGTCAATGAGTTTAACACCTGTTCTCTGACACCCTTCCCGTAGTCGCCTGGGAAATGCATTGAAATCTCCATATGCGGAGAACGTTGTGACAACTCCATCAATTACAGGATGGACCCGCAAAGCCATCCTAATATTACCAGCCACATCTTCTGGGTGGACATCACTTGGCACTGGACAATTCTCGATGTCCCAGAGTATAGCCACAGAACCTCGTGATGAGCTTTGCTCAGTGTTTGCATTTGCCATATGTTTCTCTTCTGAGTATTCGTTTGGCAACATTAAAGCAGATAAATTTGAACTTGACATCAAAGTTTCCTAAGCAGTTCAAGCAGCGTCGTCAGGCTTCCTGATATCAATGGAAGGTTGTGAATAACCACAGAAAGAAAACTTCCACATACTTGCACTTGATACTGAAATAATAATTGACAACAAAATAACGTTCAACCAAGGGGAACAGGAGATTGCAATTGAGCCCAAAGTATTAGGTAACGTATAAAAATGAGTCAAGAAAGAAAATTACTAGTTTAAACTAGAAGTCTTTTCTAAAAAATGGCTTCAGTAAGTTTTATAGTTTACATTCTGAATCAGTTTATATAAGAACTTCCATATCCTGCTCCAAGATATTATTATTGTTGCAGGTAAGATTGAACATGATATCAAGCAAAGGTCCCGTGGGCATGGCCATCTCTAAAACCTTAGGCTTTTAGATCAAGTAGCTCAATAATTATTCCATGCCAGAAGGTCATTACAGCTAATTTAATTATCGCCATTAAATTCTTTCTGCCCAAGAAAGCAAACAAATGGAGTAGCTAAATTGAAAACAAGTCATTTTTTCTGATATTTTTCACATCAGATAATGTTTTTAAAAATGGTAGAATATCAACAATACATGACTACATACCCTAAAATAGGATACACCATTACCAAGAATATCATAACAAAAACATTGAGGAGAAGAATATTCAAGAAAGCTATATGAAATAAACCCAGACCATGGCCAAATACCTAAAATTTATTACTCAAATGAAGAAAATAATAGATCGACAAATCATAAAAAATAGATCTATAAAATCATTCATTTAGTCATTTTATTCTTGCGCCGAGAACTGAAGAAACTCAAACATGTAACTAGAGATCCAATATTCATCCACAAATTCTTCAAATTAGGGTTTCTTAATACGTATCTAAGTATAGAGGTAATAGCGGGAGGAGGATGACTTGCCTAAAACGGAAAAGAATTGTGTTCGAGTTGTGAGGATCAGTGAATTCTTCAGCAAAAACGAAAGAAAGGGATAATTTTTCAATGGGTAGTCGGCACCTTTATGTCTGATTCTCAATATCAGATAAAACAATATGAAAGTTAATTGGGATTTCTTTTATATCTGGACGGTGATGGCCGAAACGGAGAGGCTGATCGCGGCGGAGAGTTTAATTGGATTTAAGATTTGGAACGATGAACAATAGTTCGTGCGAACTGAACCGATATTTGACGAATGATGATTAATCAGATTGTCTTCTGGAGGTGCAATTTACCGTTGTACAATGTCCATGTGCATTGATGATGTAACAATTATTTTTTCTTTTTCCTTGTGGAGAGGTTGTCTTTGTTGTTATTAGGGGTTGTTATTAGGGGTGGACAAAACTCGATCGAACCCGTTCAAATCGAACTAATTCGATCGGGTTGGGTCGATTTTTTTGTTGTTTTTACACGGGTTGAATGGGTTGGCTGTGTAGGCGGAGTGGATTGGGTCGAGTTATAGGTTAGCTCAAGAAAATCGAATAAACCCGCTCAACCCAACCCGCCACTTTAAAAAAAAATAAAAGAAATAAAATGTCTAGAAAAGTAAAAGAAACCTAAAAATTATGAGTAGATAGTGTAATTGTAATTATATTGATGTATTTTAGAGGAGGGGCTTACTGTTCTTCCCACAAGAAATGTAGTATAAATTTTTCATG